TCTATGATCCATTTATGTATTTTTAGTTTTGTATTCCTGGGAGGTTTTCTTTTGTCCTTCCAGCAGATAACTTATTATCCTTCATTTATTAGGTATTTTTAATTTCTTTCCTGTTAGTAAATTTAAGAAAATATTTGTAGAATTACTTAAAAGTAATAATAGCGTACTTTCTAGATCAGAGCTACATAAGATAAAATCATGAAACTATAAAGTCAGCTTTGACCTTTAGATCTTCATTATATGTACTTTCCCAGAAAAAAATATGATTAAAAAAACCCCCACCCTTTTGAGTGGATGGATCACATCTTTAATACAGTTACATTCTTCACTTAAATTAGGTAACCTACAATTTTCACAGATATTTAAGATACAGATGCTCTCCATGCAATTTATAAGCTATAATTGGTTGGATTTATGGAATGAAAACTCATTATTCTAAATCCAGAAATAATAATTCCGTAAGACTTCTAGTGCAACCTCATAACAGATTTTAGCAGGGCATGCATGGTAGAATTTGTCCATGTTCATTATCATGAAAATGGTTTTGTTAATGAGCTTCCTTTTGAGGAATTCCAGAACAAAACGGTTTGGTCCGTAAGAGATTACAACACTTACATTTTGCATTGAATGAATAAGCTGAAATGCATCTTGCAGAATAAAGTAAGTTTTGCTCTGACCTTGTCAGTCCAAGCCATCCATAGATTGGTAGATTTGTACATTTTAAAGTCAGAAGGAGCCACTAGATTGGCTAGTCTGATTTTCTCTATAACAGAGTGTGACGGGTGCCACCTGGAACTGGGGTACCATTGAGCCCCACTGACCCACTAGCCTGGGCTCCCTCTTACACTGTACTGCTGTGACAAGCTGCAAAGCCCTCTCCAGCCTGCACATTCACCAGCATACATACAGGTAGGGACACACCCAGCTGCAGTTACATGCAGACTCTCAGACCAGCCCCAGCATGGGAAGGCTACAGCTAGAGTAAGTACCAGCTCCTCAGGCATGCACCCCCTCTGGAGTATAAATCCACAATTATCCCATCTTGCATTGCACAGGGAATTGTACAGCGTAAGCTCATAACATTTGCCCCCTCCTTCAATGTGGAGAGGAATATGCAACAGCTTTTTGCCCCTGAGTTATGATTCCCACACACTGGTTTAGATAAAGCAAAAATAAGTTTATTAACTATAAAAGATAGATTCTAAGTGATTATAAGTGAAATAAAACAGATCAAAGCAGATTGCCTGGCAAATAAACAAAAAATGTAAACTAAACTTAATATACTAGATAGATTGGCTATGAATAGCAGATCCTCACCCTAAGAACTGATACAAGCAGGCTGGAAATTCTTAAGGGGCAAGCTGCATTTGCTTACAGCTTGGAATCCCCAGGTGTTCCATTCACAGGCTAAAAATCTCTTTAGCCTGGGACCATCACTTCCCCAGTTCAGTCTTTGTTCCTCAGGTGTTTCCAGGTGTGTTGTGTAGGGGGAGTGAGGTACCATCATGATGTCATTTCCCCCCTTTTATATCTTCCTCCCACTTTCTGGAAAGCTCTTTTGCTGTGACTTGGGTCAAACAATTCCCATTGTGTAGAGCTAGCTCTGAGAGGTTTCTGTTGTACACAGTTCCTGGGGTAATCCTTGGGCTTGTGTGCATTTCCTCAATAAGCCATTAACATTGTTTGGCCTTTTTACTGTGGTACCCGAAAGCTGCTTGTGGGTGTTTTCAACCTCATCACATGTTTCAGTAAAACAAACATAGCCAACTCTCTAACTTCACATACGACGATAGCACATACAATACAGCAAGATATTAATGTCTAGCAGATCAAGACTTTTAGAATGATACCCCACAAAGCATACTTTGTACAAAACATATCCTAATTACATGACAGTGGTGAATATTGGGATGCCAGGATGTCACACATAAAATTTTGTCCATTTACTTCTATGTTAAGCCCAATAAATTTTGTTGACTAAAGCATATCTTCCAGAATAGGGTGACCAGATAGCAAGTGTCAAAAATCAGGACGGAGGTAGGGGTAATTGGCGACTATATAAGCAAAAGCCCCAATATACTATCAGGACTGTCCTTATAAAATTGGGACATCTGGTCACCCTATTCCAGAAAGGCATTCAGTCTTAAGTCTATAGCTAGGATCTTTGAAATGCTTATGCAGGTAAATAGTTTGATGCACATGATTAGTCAATGGGACTATTGACATAACTAAAGTTACTTATGAGGGCAGCAGGAACAAGCCCTGGGGAATTATTGTGTACAGTTTGATCACTTTTAGAACTAAAAGAGCTTCGACTCCATGATCATACTTAATAATTTATTATGTAATCTTGATGTGTTACAATTTAGAAATGGCACTTTCAGGGAACATCTCATTTCTCACATGAAAAGTAAACAGACATTCTATTAAATCCTTTGTGCATAATTGTAAACAGATTGTTAAGCTGCAGCACTTAAGCTACCCTTCAGTGACTGATTTATGTCTTTTGAATGCTAAGCTCTGAGGCTGTCAAGTAGCTAGGATGTAAACCAAGTGACTCTTCTGTAGTCAGGATTGACTCTGTCTGTTTACTCAGTCAGCATGACAAGAAGCGTTCATGTCCCAGCCTGATCTGTCCATTTTGTATAACAAATGCTATCATGCCTTAGGCTTCAGTCCTGCAAAAGACTCTGCCCAGGAATTAGGGTCCATCCACCTGAATCTCTTACCTTGCTAATGCTGTACCCCATTGAAACCTATGCCATCTTCCACTCAGTCACCCCAACATCTCACCCTGATGACCCTGCATCTTTCCCAGTACTTTCTCCCAAACATTCTGGCTCCATGCCCCTGGAGACCATCAGACCTAGGTGCTTTCTGGAAGAGCAAATTAGAGCTGCAGTTCCTGAGATGACATTGTAAGGCCTTATCTTTTGTTTAAGTAAATATTGCTGTAAAGGGTTAAAGTTTATGTAACTTACATTTCCTTTACTGCTAGTTTCTTACCACAAAGGTAATTGTAAATGAATGACTGTATTTTTACACTAAGGGAAATACATATGGCCTGATTGCACATCCCTTATTCATGTAGGAGTGAAATTAATTTCCTTGCAGAAGGCCAGCACATCCCATTTCTGGCTGGGAGGAGAACAAGAAGGGCTGGAATGCAAACAAGGGAGGTTGTTCTCAGTCCCGTTTTGCAGACTTGGGAGGTTGGGATGGTTCAGAGAAGCATTGCACATAAATCTGGAGCAAGATCTTGGGCTGTGTTAAGGCTTCTTTGGCACTTTCAAGCTGCCCTAATTGTGTGGAATTGAGCTGGTGTAGGGGACATGCCTTGGCAGAGGGGACATGGCTAGAATGTGCTTCACTCCAGCAATCCCCATCCCTAGCGCGCTGTTATAAGATGACATGATTAGAGTAGCCCTGAGGATTGGAGGAGTAAAAATGGTGCCAGAGAGCTACTTAAGTCTCCAAGTTTTTTAATCTTGCTCTGAGCACAGCTCATCTACCCTCCAACATCCAGAACCCTAAAATTTTGGATGCTTATCTGAACTGAACTCTAATTTTGAACCTTTTGAAGCTCACCATTATTGGGTATAAATCGTATTGCCCTTTCTTCCATCTGAAATTGTACAGAGGAATATCTTTTGATTTAATTACCATGAATTCAACTCCTTAAATCCCCTCTCGGAAATAATATATATATATGTATATATTTGGTGAAGGCATGTCTGTATTGGAAAACAAGCCTTATGTAACATCTGCTCTGTACTATAACAAATCTAAACTCTTAGCACTGCGGTGTTAAGATTTGAACAAAGTGCAATCCAAGATGAACATTATGCTGTAAGAACCCAGATTACTGGTAAATCACTTTTGGGCTCCTGAGGCATGAGGCATTAGATGTTTCCTAACTTGCATTCGGTCAAGACCATCCCATATTAAATTATTTCTGCCCCTTTGCTGTCAATCAGAAAAAAAAATCCTAACACTCAGGCTGTCTTAAAATAATAAAAAACAGGAATAAAGATCCCTGGTCAGCTCAGGGCAAATAAATCATGTTGGTTTTGGAAGTGTACTTTTCCCTCTCTTTCTCTCCCCTCCTTTGAACTTATCGAAAGTTTGTATTTCTTAAGCTGATGGATTCATACATCTATTTGACAATGCCCTATTTTGATTGCTTAATTGAAATAAATGGGCCAGCTCCTCAGCTGGTATAAATCAATGTAACTCCATTGCCATAAATGGAGTTATGCCAATTTATGCCAACTAATGATCTGGGCCAATATTTCCAAAAATACTAATTTCCATATGTCAGGATTCTAAGTGTATAGGAAAGAAAAGAGATCCATTCAAAATGGCATGTAATTCTGCTTTATGCATGTATGTCATTTTCTACATGTATATGCTTTACTATAAGTCAGTTCCTGCTGATGGGTCAGATTATTAAATTATGTGCTATACATTTCTGACAAATGTCCTTTTTGTTCTAAAGATTTCCCTAAAGCTATGCTTAGTTTTTCAAACAAAACCCCTTTTCATTTTAAAATTGGCAGACACAGCTAAATATATATTTGCCAAAATACAGATTTGCCAAATCTGTAGCCACTGGGCTAAATTCACTTTTAGTGTAATTCCATAGATTGTAGTCATTTTACTCTCAAGCTGAATTTGGTCTGTCCTATCCTTGAGAACCAGACACAGCTCATCATGTTAAAAATGCATATGAATTTTTAAAACAGGTAAAGGGTCTTAAAGGTTACCTTAAAATAGGGAAATAAAATGAAGAAATGAACAAATGACAGGCCACATTGTATTTAAAGTCTGTATAGTCATTATGATAGTCTTAAAGGAATACATATTCATATCTCAGTTCTTTAAATATACATAAGGTTATTTGAGCTGTTCTTTGCAATGACATACTACAAGCAAAATCACAAGAAAAAATAAAATGCTGCAAAATCTCTGGTCCTAACACACCTTTAAATGTGTTACAGATTTACTGGCCTGCAGCAAAAGAGAAGGTGGAAGTATGCAAATTAGCTGGGAAAGATGTCCAGGTAAATACAGAACATTTTTTTCTTTATTGGTGCTGGTAACACTGTATAGCTATATATTTATTTCTAAATGCATTAGATTTTATTATTAAGCAGCTGTTGAAAAAAGGCTGGTAAATACTCATACTGTTGTATTCTAATTTAATGCACAAAAGACATACCATTGATAGTTTTGCCTTTTTCTTTAAAAAAAAGTGCATGCAACTGTTAATGAAATCACTAACTTAAAAGAGTAGTTTCATCTCTATTTCAAATGCTGATGCTTCAAGGAGAATGTGGAACAATACTGAGTAGAAGAGGTGCTTAGCTATCAGTATACATGCAAAATTCAGTGTACGATCAAAATTCAGCCACAGATCGTATTGAGAAGTGAATCAACTCCATTACCTGTGATACTCATTATGGGCCTGATCCAAAGCCACTAAAAGTTCTTGTGACCATCAAAAAGTCCCTTCCCCTTGGGAATATACTGAACACAGCTTTATTGCAATTCATTAACAAAGCATTAGACTTGTACATTTACAAATTAACTCAATTCATAGACAGCTGCAATTATTACCAGTGTAAAACACCAGTCTCATGGATTCATAAGCTCTTCTCCAGTGCCACAGTCCCCTTTAGGGGGGAGAGATAGCTCAGTGGTTTGAGCATTGGCCTGCTAAACCTAGGGTTGTGAGTTTAATCTTTGAGGGGGCCATCTGGGGCAAAAATCAGTACTTGGTCCTGCTAGTGAAGGCAGGGGGCTTGACTCGATGACCTTTCAGCGTCCCTTCCAGTTCTATGAGATAGGTATATCTCCATATATTTTCCTATAAGAACATGCATCATTCTGCATAATAAAAAGGCTTCCCCCATCCCTCTTCTGTACAGTGAAGAGAAACCAGATTCCCTCATGAAAGACAAGAAGTGCCATAAAGAATCTGAAGCCTGCCCCACTCATACATGTAAAGTTTCTTCCCCTTTCTTCCCACTAACCCAGTGGTCTTCACTGGGCATGTTTGTTTAAGGGATGGGCCCAAGCTAAAACCCTAGATTGAAATACACTTTATGAGGAGGTTCCATTTGGCATCTTAACATAATGGCTGTCCCTTATCTCTATAATACAGCAGGTCTGAACAACACCTCCTCTGAGCTCTGGGAAATCTCTGATCCTGATCTGTACACAAACTGTAGTTGGACCAATCTCTGTGCTTTTGTAAAAGAGAGGCAGCTGGAGGGATGAATATTGTGTTTTGTGACACCTTGTAGGTATCATCTACTACATTCCCTCTTCAGCTTTCTTCCCGCCTCACAGGTTAGACAGCAGATATTATATTAATCTGGAAATAAGTGGCCGAACAGCTTTGTTGTATGCTTCTTTTTCCCAGTTAGGGCAAGGCTGTTGCTTGCCCTTTACCCCCGCCCCATGCCATAACCTTGCAATGGACAGCCACAATCTAGGTAATTGCACTGCTGAACAGCAAGGACCAGGACTGTCCAGGGACTACACTGGTGCTAAGTACCCCAAAGGTGTCATGGACCTTGTGATGACACGTGTGTGTGTGTGTGTGTTCCCTTCCTGCTTACTGCTTCTTTCTCTCTGTTCCTGTTCCTCTTTGTTATAGTTACTGGTCCTGCGTGGATGTGCATATACCATTGGACGTGTGCAGTTAGTCAGGGACAACTGCTATATACTTGCCATTTGGACTGTTATGATGTTTTGTTCAGATTGTTGTTGACTTAACTGGTTCATGGTTGTTACAAGTTTTGATTGACAACCTACCTGCGTGTCTTGCTTAAATTTCCTTCTGTTTTGGGATTGCTGATTAGCGTGCATCAGAGCATAACAGACTTGCCCCAGTCCTTGCTGGCCAATAAGATAGGGCCAGTGCAAGGAGAGTATGTACATAATGCACCCTTTGACAGTTTATTGCAGCCCTGAGGACTGCCACAGTGATGGAGGGCCCTTGCCTCCATTCCCACAATTAACCTTTGGCTGTTAATGCTTGCACTGAGTCTTTAATTGGAAGAAATGACAGGCGAACCAACGGGCCAGCCAAACGTGGGACCCACCACATTTAGGAAACGGTTGCCAACTTTCCCATTTCCAGACAATTGTTAAGACTGGAGCTTTATTACAACAAAGACTGGTACAGAGAGAACTTCTCAAAACTAGACTTTCACCATGTATTTTGTCATTCATGGCTTTATACCAGTATAACAAGAATGTTCTCAGTATAACATGTAAGTCATTGCCTGATGGATGAACTGTACAGTAGTTGGCCAGTGATAATGCTTTAGCTGTTACAACTTTTTAAAAATAATATTGGCTATTGCTTAATGAAAGGTAGATGTGAGAGCAAAAATAAATAGTCCCCAAATACGAGTGTTGTTGTGTGCATGGTTGCAAAGTATTAACTTTTCCTCCATTTTTCCCAATAGACAGAATGTGCAAATTTTATCAGGGTTCTTCAACCCTACAACCGGACCCATGTTTATGTCTGTGGCACAGGAGCCTTCCACCCTATCTGTGGATACATTGAACTTGGAATACACAAAGAGGTAATTTAATCCCTCCACCAATGGTGCATGACAAGAAATGGCTCTAACCTCGCTTAGCATCCATCATTTATTTTAAAACCGAGTGAGTGATCTAAAAAATGAACTGACAGCAGTTTGTATAAATAGCAGGGTTATGGTGCATTTTACAGGTCATGTAAGAACTCATGTTCTCACATTTGATGTGTGCATATTGCACTTGAACAAAGCTCTTTGCCCAATAAGAATGAATATACAAAGGTCTTTAGAGTGACACTTTCAATGAGTAATTATGTGAAGAGCACATTTAACCCAGATGTCTTGTTTTCTAGCAAATCCTTTTCCTGCTTATTTATTCCTATTTCTCTTTCCCTGCTTTCTGGTCAGCATTGCAACACTCTGCTTCTACCAGGGAATCCACTATCACTATCACTCCATGGGCCAACTACCCATGGGAATGGAAGTGCCCCGGTGCTTTGGGACTGTCTAAACCACTATGTATTGCTTAGTCCATTCACCATTTAGGGTGAAATCTTTCAGTCCCCAGGCCTGGCCTTAGACCCACCCATTCCCAGTGGAAATAACACATTTTCCAATGCACAGGGGGGCTGTGAATTGAAAAGGAAGCAGAAGGGGGAACTGTGTGGTGGCTCTTTGCTCATGAGGGAAGGAAAGTTATGGGGATGAAGATGACAGGACTGATTGTCTGCCACTCATGATCAAAATGACAGTTGGGGAGAGCAACAGGCTGCATCTCAGATTCCTCCTTCAAATCTGTTAGAGTCAGTGCTGAGCAGTTGCACAGGATTCAGTCTTGCCACAGGATTCAGTCCTGCAGTTCCCCTCCCCCTCCCCCCTCTTTAGAACACACAGCAGAGTCCTTTCACATGCGTATTGCTCCTGGATGTGATTTCACCCTGAAGGACTTGTCAGCTGAACCCATGATTCCCAAAATCTAACATAACGTTGGCTTGCTCTGTAAAATATAATGTAAGCAATAGTGTGCCAAAGTATGTGGTAACACCAGCTACCTGCAATTCTTTTGAGGCACAGCACCAAGTCCAGATATTTCCTGCCAGGTATGAGGTGCAAGGATTCCTATAAAACTTTTAAAAACAAGCTGAACAGAGGGTTTAGGGACCTGAGGCAAACTCACAGCCCAAGGGGAGGGAAACTAAACCACTTTTGAAAGCCCCTGATCCTGGCATGATCTGGAGCCTGGAGAGGCTAGTCCTGGGGACCTGTCTCCAAGCAGTTTCCTAGTTCTGTCTTATGGGCCGCAGTGCTGCCTGGAACCCAGCCCTGCCCCGACATGCCCCTTCTGCTGGCATGCATCCTATGCCAGGGCTTGTGAGGAGGTTCTCAGAAGGTTGTCTTCATCAGTACCTGCACTGAGGGAATCCACCCACTGTTGAAATGGGACTTATAGGGCCTCTTTATGTCATTCCAGCCCTTGACCTGGTCTAAAGGCACCAGAGCAGTATCTGCTAGGGATGGAGCAGGAGGATTTAAGGAGATTTTCCTTCCTCTCCTTGCACAGGGCACAGACAAAGTATCGGTCCTTGTGGACAAGCTCGGTTCAGACTGATTCTAACACTTCACAAGCTCTACCCTCAGCTCCACCAGCCTGCAAAATTGTCCCCTCCCATCTGTCTGTACATGCTGCACCCTGTACATTGGTAAACAGGCCCACGCTCTTCCTAGTGACAACAGTGGCAATGTGCTAAACTCACACTACAGGGTATAATCCAGTCACTAACTGATGGGGCTGTAAGAAATTTCCCCTATGGACAGACTATTGCATAATTATTCATTATAGGGATTTATTTTCCCCTTCCCCTAAAACAGCTGGTACTGGGCAAGGTTGGAAACAGGCCATTTGACTGGACCGACGACTAGCTTGATCCATTAGGACAAGTCCAATGTTCCTGTGTGTTTGAGGGTGCAAGAGGGCTATGTTTTTCATGGGTTGAAATAATTCACTTTTTTCAAAGGCCTCTTACCTAAGATTCAAAAGAGAAATTAGCACATTTTAGTGCTTCTGAAATAAAAGAAAAGCAGCACTGTAATAAACTCTGCTTCTTTTGTCACAGCCGTTGGAATAGAATTCTTGGACTGGCTATATGCAACTTTTCTCCCTCATCTTCCCCCACCTCTCCTGCTTGCCCTCTGCATCCCAAAGGAGTACTCATTTCTCCCATTACCACCCAAATCCTCACATGATAGTACCTCTTGCTTGCAGCCTTGTTTAATCAAGTGCAATGTAGCGGTGAACGGCATGAGGCACTCACTCCCTTTCCTCCTGCAGCACTTATCTAACAGGCTAAATCCACTGCCTCCGCACTGTCTCACTTAGCTCCTGAGAAGTGAGAGGCTAGGAGCCAGATTCTGCTAGCCCTTACTCTCCCTGCAAATCCATCGATATGACTGTGGTTGCATGGGTCTTGTACTGAAGGTGGAATTTTGTCCCCTGAGACTCGGAACTGAATTCAGGTTTCTTGCATGGTAACACAGCATTGCAATTGACCCAGTTCCTTTCTTGTTTTTTAAAAGTCTAGATTATAATTATGTGTGTTTTGTAATGAACAAACTCGGTCCGACCCTGTTGGATTCTAGGCACTAATCTGCTGTTGGGAAAGCAAAGGCTCCAGATATTCTTCCTTTCTGTAATGAGCCTTTGAAATCTGCCAACGTACCGACAACCTTGGAAACCTGCCAGTGTGTCTGCCAACCTTCTGCCGTCTGATGCCAGTGCTCTGGAAACAGATGAGTCAGAACAGGTCAGGTGACTTTAAGCCACAGCACATATTGTTTTGGAAACAATATAAAATCTGCCAAGGCATCACACAGTTGAATTTAAGGAGATTAAAATCCCAATCTTGTTACGATTGAAGTCAAAGCCAAAACTTCTCCTGCCTGCCAGGTGAACAGGACTGGGCCCAATTTGTGCCTTTTGCCACAGCCTTCAAAAGAGTGTTAAAAATTTTGTCCGGGTTGTGTGTTAATCACCTATGCTCTGTACTGGTTATCTGTTGATTTCTGGGTGAAGTTTGAGCTATTTGGTTTTGATGTATAAAACTCTAAATGACTTGGGTCCTGGTTAACTTAGAGACCCCCTGTCCATATTTGATACTGCTGTAGTTGTGATCCTCTGAGGGGCTCATACTAAAAACCACCTCGTTGAAATGGGAGTGGGATGGGAGCAGGCCAGTGATCTTCAGCCTTAGAATTCATTTTCCCCATCAGTATGCCTCAACTTACATTGGTGACCCTCTGAGAACATGGCAATGTTTACCTGTGTCCCAAGTGGCATTATTTGAGGGAATGAGGTGAATGAATGGGGTGGAATATGTCCCAGTATTGGGAAGGATTTGATTCTTTGCAGGGAGCTTAGTTATTATATATTCCGCATAAATGGTTTATGTTGCTGTGTTTTTATATTTTGTCATGAACCTAGAGAATTTATGGATGGACATAATAGGAAAAATAAAAATGCCAGCCCTCTGGTCACCTAAATGAAAACTTTAGTCATGTCTACACTACAAAATTATTCCGATCTCAGTTACATTGGCATACAGTCACCGCAGTTATTACATCGCTTGTGCATGTGTACACTTTGCTCCTTGTGTCAGCGGAGCACGTCCTCACCAGGAGTGCTTGTATCAGTGCAGAGAGCAGTGCACCATGGGTAAGAATCCCACTGTGCAACTTGCCATCATCCTGCACAGGGTGTTTTGGGAAGTTTCGGCCCCATCAGGCATTGCAAAAACGAGTCATGCAGTGGTGACTGGGAGGCTGGGGATCAACTTCCCATAATGAAGTGTTCTCCATCCCATAATATTTCACATCTTCTTTTCAAAACCCACAAAAACCCACACATCCCTCCTTGCTACCTGCCATCTGTGACAGAAGCATGGAGTCTGTACAGCTCTGCACTATTGTCATGAGCGTTGCAAGCAAGGAGGGTATGGTCCTGTAGTGTTTGCAGAGCTGCCAGAGGAGCTGTGAAGAATGTGATGATTCCTTGGAGGCTAGATTGCTGTGGGGCATAGAAAGAACCAATTCCAGGTTGTTGGTGGCATTCATGGAGCAGCCGGAGATGGCGGAGCACTGGTTCTGGGCCTGAGAAACAAGCATTGACTGGTGGGATTGCATTGTCGTGCAGGTTTGGCATGATGAGACGAGGCTACAGAGCTTTTGGATGCATAAAGCCACAAAGTGTGCTGAACTTGCCCCAGCCCTCCAGTGCAGAGACACCAAAATAAGAGCTGCACTGACAGTTGAGAAGCGAGTGGTGATTCACACTATGGAAACTTGCAAGGATAGATTGCTACCTGTCAGTCAGGAATCAATTTGGAGTTGGGAAATCCACCACAGGGGCCACTGACATGCAAGTGTGCAGGGCTATTAATTGCCTCCTGCTATGCAGGACTGTGACTCTGGGCAATGTGGAGGGCATAGTGGCTGTTTTGCAGCAACGGGGTTCCTGAACTGCGGTGTGGCAAGAGATGGCACGTGTATCCCTATTTTAACATCAGATCACTTTGCCACAGAGTACATCCACAAAAAGGGCTACTTTTCTATAGTAATGCAAGCTCTGGTAAATCACTGGTGATGCTTTACTGACATCAATGTGGGCTCTTCAGGGAAGGTACACGATGCTCGCATCTTTAAGAAGATGGAACTGTTCAAAAACCTGCAATCAGGGTCTTTCTTTCCCAACTGGCGGATTACCCCTATTGCTCCCAAGGGTCATGAAGCTATACACTGGCCACCTGGACGGCATCAGGCTCAGCAGGTGCAGAATGGCAGCTGAATGTGCCTTTGGTCATTTGAAGGATCACTAGCGTTGTTTACTTACAAGATTGGACCTAAGTGAGAAAAATATCCCAATGGTTATAGTGGCCTGCTGTGTCCTACATAATATCTGACGTAAAAGGAGAAAGGTTTCCTCTGGGGTGGACGTCAAGCAACTGTCTTCTGAATTTGAACATTCAGATACAGTACGGGGCTACACGGCTCAGGGAGGCTTTGAAAGACCATTATAATAGCGAGCCAGAGTAGTAAGTGTTGCTATAGTGTATTATACCTCGTCTTGCTCTTTTGCAGGCCGATATGAATCTTGTAGTGATTAGAACATTGTCAATACACCTATTAATATTGTCCGTGAATGGTGTTACAGGTTCTGTTACAGTGAAGTAACAGGAAAGAGGTGGGTGTCAGCACTGCTCAGCACCAGCCAGCATATGTTGTGAACTAATAAAGATGAATTTTATTCCAAAAAATAGAATTTTATTCTGTAACAGGAACCAGGCAATTAAAAGAAAACCTCTAAAACTTAATACATTAAGGGAACAGAATTTATGAAGGGGAAAGAACGCCCCATTTCAAGTACACATACACCAACCATGTTGTAACCCTTCTCCGGTATCCCCCAAGTAATCTGCTTCTAGATGTCCACATTTCTATGGCTAGATCGGCGCTATGCCTGCACAAGCTCTTCTCCCCATCAGAGATCGAATACCACCCATTTGCTCCAGGCAAGAATGTGTCTACACCATGTAGCCAGCCTGGTCAGCTGCACACAACAGTGGACAGCTGGTAGGTGTACTCGCCAACCCGGAAAAGGAATTTCAAAAATTCACAGGGCTTTAAAGAGGAGGGGCAGTTTCCTGTCTCCCTGACCCCCTGGGCAGTGGAGTTCAGAACGGTGACCAGAGTGGTCAGTGTGGAACAATGTGGGACAGCTCCTGGAGACCAATAGTCAATTTAAGTAACACGGTGTCTCCACTGACACTGTGTATGTCTACACAGCAACTAGATACCTGTGGCTGGCCCATGCCAATCAACGTGGGCTCCCAGAGTTCAGGCTGCGGGACTGTTTCACGGCAGTGTAGACTTTCAGGCTCAGGCTGCAGCCCAAGCTCTAGGACTTTCCTACCTTGCAAGGTCCTAGAGCTTGGACTCCAAGCTAAGCCCAGAAGTCTACACAGCAATGAAACATCCCCTTAGCCCAAGCCCCACAAGCCAAAGTCAGCTGGCACGGGCTAGCTGTGGGGTTTTCTTTGCTGTGTAGACATACCTTGTGTTGACCTAACTACATCGACTGTGACTCTCCGCTGCTTGGGGAGGTGATATTTGTTCTTAAGTTGGCATAGTGGGGCATTTACATCGACGGGAGCCAAATTTAAGTGAAGACACATCCACACTAGGTTAACGTAAGCTGCCTTGTATTGATCTAACCATGTAGTGTAGCTGATTGGTGGATTTAACTTGTTAAGGAGTCCTATTGTACATGACCCTCTGTGGGTGTGTAAGTAGCCTGCCCTCCGTGCCCCAAGACAGGGTGGAATAATTTAACACAAAGTGATTTCAACCATTCATTGGGGGCACTTGATTTTTATTTTAATAATTGGTTTAAATCAGGTTGACACTTTGTAAAACTAATTAGAAAATTTGTGCTATTGCAATTTTAAATTAAAATGTATGAAGAGCTAAACTATAAATGCAGGAGTGGTTTTTAAATGCCACTACTAGTAGGGTATCTCACTGCAATTATACAAAACTGCTCCAGGCAAAAAACAAAATATGGAAAATTAAGGCCCTGGTCCAACAAATACTTTAGCAGTTGCATAATTTTACTCCCACAAATAGTCAAATTAACTTCAATGAGAGTATTCACATGCATAAAGTTAAGCATTCATGTGAGTGTTTGCAGCATCACAGGCTAAAATTGATATTTTTTATTGAAACTTTTCCCTTAGTGGCATAACATTTTTGTCACTAACACCGAAGCGATTTTGTTTTAACAATGAAAAACTATTTAGACCTTCACTACATTAACAAAGGTTGTGGTTTTTTTCATACATACGGTCCAAAAATAGGAGCCTAATGTTTGCTTTAAGCCCTGTGACAAAGCGGGACTCACCACCATGGCGCCTCCTGCTGGCCATCCTGGGAATGAGCTCTCGGCCCTTCCAGGCCACCTTCAGCTAGTGGTGTCAGGCCTGCCATCACTGCTGTCTCCACTCTTTGGACCCACATGGCTCCCCAGACCACAGTGTCCTCTTCTGGGCATGGCCCTCCGGTTGTCTCTATTCCTGCCACTTGCCTCACTGGCCAACTGGAGTCCAATGTCCAGCCCCTCGCCTCAGGGAAAAACTGCAGTCTGTATACCGGCCACTCTCCTCACTGGAAAGTGCGGGGACCCAGGCCCACCCACTACTCTGGGTCCCAACCCAGGGACCCTATAGCTGGCAGCCACCTACTGCCATCCTCCGACTTGCTGCCTATTTTCCCTGGGCCACTTCCCCCATAGCCCTAGCACTCCTCTCAGCCCTTGGAGCAAGGCCCCAGCCTGGCAGTGGTCAGCCAGCAGCTCCCTCTGCCTCTGCTACTTCAGGCAGCCAGTCCTCCTCCCTTGCCTTCCAGGGAGAGACTGCCTTCTAACTGCTGAGCAGCCCTTTATATATGGCCTTCGCAGGCTGTGATTGGCTGCTCCAGCAAGCCTTCCCCCTATTGGTGGGATCAATAAGCCCTTTCCTGATTAATGGGTTCTGTGCAGCCTCCCTGGTGCTGCTTTTAACCCCTTCTTCTCCCTGTGTGGGGCAGCCGACCCACCACAAGCCCATATTTATAGACATAAGAGTAGGATTTTCAAAAGCAGCTAAGTGATTAAAAAGCACAGGGTCCCACTGACTTCAGATGGCAAACCATGTTGGAAGAGTGTAATATGGTTGAACCATTTCAGCTTTCTTGACTTCTGACAGTTCAGTGTAATGGAATGTAGTGGTGACTGCAAATACAGCCCAGACTATTTGCTTATCAATTTTGTGTTTCAGTTTGTGCTGTTCTCACAATAAGGATATTAGGGCATGTCCCCACAGAAAAGCTATACCAGTGGAAACTAAAGTGTTAATTTAAACCACTCTAAATATAGTGATATAAGTCCCTAGGTGGATACTCTTATTTTGGTATGAGTGCCTTTTTGTTTTGTTTTTTTTTCCGTTTAGCTTATGTTGCTTTTGTAAGGGGTTTAAACTAACCTAGAAAAGCCACTCTTACTCCAGAATAAGTGTGTCCACCTTGCAAGTTATATTAGTATAACAGTAGCTGTTAAATGATACAGGCATAATTATACTGGTATAATTGGTAAAACATTCCAAGGCTAGACAAACCCATAAGGAGGCCCTAGACTTATGTGGGGGGGGTTTCTCTCTCCCAGCACAGACAAACATTTTAAGTGTGAAATTTCTTAGTGGAAAAAAAATCTCTGTAAATCTTGAAATTTTACTAACAAATAGGAAACTAATGAAGGAAACAAGTACCAAATAGCCACTTACGCAGTTAAAGACTATAAAACGGGCTGAAAGTAAAGGACTAGCAACATGTAAATGCATAAATAAGATCTAACTAAAAACCATTGTTTGATTTTTTTTTTTTAAATCCATTATTTTTTTTTTAAATCATGATTTTTCTCCATCCTGCTTTATGCCTTGTGCCATTGCCCAGCTCCTAGTCACTATGCAGGTGGTGACTGGAGCCAATGAGCCATGCTAGCAGCCCCAGCGTCAACAGCTTCTTTAAAGATGGCAAGGGGAGAGCACATGCTGCACTCATGTAAAGAGTTCAGGAGCCCCAAGAGAAATCCACGTGGAGATAGCCAGAATCCCTCCCATTTGTGCACAGTCTCTCAGCACTCCCTCCCCAACAAGGACTTATGCCTTTAAGGCACATCCAGCCTTTAATCTGGATGGATGGAATTGAACAATGCATCTGTTTTCAGATCAGTTTATTTTTATTAGACTCATTGCTATTAAATGACTGTGATGCATTAAAATGATGACTGTAAAAGCCAGATACAAAGCAGATCTATAAAACTACAGACATAAAGGCCAGACGCGTGAGAGATACACAGTCTAATACACCGTTACTTCATATATGAGAAGAGCAATATGTCTGAGACTTAGTCTCTCTCTGCATTGACACCTGGTTAATGAATTTGCATTTATTCTCAGGAAATGGTATTCAGACTGGACACTCAGAACCTGGAGTCTGGCAGGTTGAAATGTCCTTTTGATCCTCATCAGCCGTTTGCTTCAGTAATGACAGGTAAGATGTCAACATCACGGATGCTTCTTCCTTGCGTGTTCATCACAATCTTATTTAACTAAAAACAACAGGGCCAGATCCTTAGCCAGTGCAAAGCCGCTGTCTTTTATGCCAATTTTTACTAGCTCATGACCTGGCCCAACAGTGTCGTTCACTTTGCATATGCTAAAAAAAAAAACCATGAGTGCAATAAAGCTAAAGGGGAAATAGGAGAGCCAATAAAGGAAAAGCTGCCAGTTTAGAAACAAGTGGTGTCATCTTTACCCAGTCATTTCTGCTTAAAAAAAAAAAACTGTACACACAGTATTTCATATGATTCAGGGGTTCTGTGGCTATTATCAATATTGTCAGCCCTTTGAAGTCTGTTGACATACATGAAGTCATCTGCATAAATCCATTTTGAGGTTTCTAATTATTTGAGTAGCCACTTCAGAAGCCTGTACTTCCATGCTGTGTGGTCTGACATTTGGTGTCATGGAATGTCAGCCTGACCTCTGAATTTCAAACCACTGTAAGAGAGCTACTTTTGTCATGGTTTGGTTCAGAGCTTTGGACAATTTTCATTTAACTTGTCCATCAAGTGTATGAATACGAGATAAGAGTGACGCACCATGACCTTTTCATTTACAGCAAAAGAGGAGTGGTGATAGTGCTTTGAAGTATCAGACACTTGGGGTTATAAAAAGAATATGACTAATGTTCAGCCTTTATTCTACAATAATAAGATCGATGATTTGTGATCTTGACCCAGCTGGAGGGCCAGCACTTCTTTTATTAAAAACAATAGATTAAAGCCAGAGGGTTACCATTCTCAGGAACCCCTAGCCCTTTTTAATGGCCATGAAGTCTGTTTCTAAAAAGGGATTCTAAAAACTTCTACTGTTCTCTTTTTCCTAATGTGACAGAACACTCTGATTTATTATAGAGCTGGTTGTTAATTTCAGTAGCATTAAAATACTTTTAAGTGCTCTGTTAAGTTTTGTGCAGTGAAGAAGAGGACACGTTTCAATGTATTAAAACATATCATTTAGAACATAAGAACTGCCATGCTGGACCAAAATAGTGACCCCTTTAGTTCAGTATCCCATCCCTGACCAATGCCAAATGCTTCAGGAGAAGGTACAAGAAACACTGCAATAGGCAGCTGTGAAATCACCTGCCCTTGGGGGAAATGTCTTCCTAACACATCAATTAGTTCATGGCCTGAAACATAGGGAGGCAGTTTGGCCTAGTGGCTTGGGCACTGGACCAAGATTGGGCATTGGAGTGGGACCCACTGCTGCCAAGTTCCTTGTGGCTGGAAGTTGCAGCTATGCAAATTCAGACTGGAAATGAGGTGTACATTTTTAATAGTGGTGGGTAATTAACCATTGGCACACTTTACCAAGTATTGGGTGGCTTCTTCATCACTGGCCATTTTTAAATCAAAAGTAGATATTTTTCTAAGAGAGATGCTGTAGTTCAAATCGGGATTATTTGGGGGGAGTTCTATGGCCTGTGTTATGCAGGAGTTCAGATGAAACATGGTTTTAGAGTCTATGAAAAGAGACCTCCATTCAATTCCTGGCTCTGCCCAGGCATGCTGTGTGACCTTGGACAAGTCACAACCCTACTCTGTGCCTCATTTTCCCCCATATTTAAATTGGGGTAATGATACTGACCTCCTTTGTAAGGTGCTTTGAGATCTAAAGATGTGAAACACTCTACAAGAGCTAGGAATTCTATCCTTTATAAATAGTTATATATTTTCATGTAATTGGGAATGCTCTCATTCTCCTTATAAATGTCTATGTTTTTTTTAAATATTGCAAAACATTTGGCCTCAATATCTTGTGTACAGATTAGCTATACATTATGTTAAAAAACTAGTCCCTTTGGCTAAAACCTACGGGGGCAGATTGAATGCATTTGTTGGTGTCTATTTTAGTACCTAATCTAAAAAGCTATTTGCCTGATTCTACAATTACTTCCTTGCATGAGTAGTTGCAAGGGTGTTACCAAAAGCTTTGAATATCTGCCTATCCTACGTAGGCATTTTTATATTATTATGCAGTTGCTTAAAGCTTTTTAATGCATTTATTATTAATATAGTTTAGCATCCATCCCTTTTTAAAAATTCTTGTCTACCAAAGCCTTTATAGGAAACAACAGGAAGTTGGAATGCAGGATACCAAAGAATAAGTTAAGTGCTGAAAGCTCCTTGTCAACAAAGGTTAAGTGAGGATGGGCATTTTCTTTGAGTCTTTCAGATGTATCAATCATTGAATGCCTGTCAGCTAGCAAACACTAATTATATCATCCATTCCTCATTTTGACATTTACCTTTCAGAATGTGCTATTGTCACTGCACAAAGGAGACATGCTGTCTGAAAGATGTATTTTAAAATACTGTTACGGAAGGATTACTTAGATAATAGTAATACTGATAAAATAGGTTTGTTTGGTTCATATTTATTGGGGGAGGATTAGGTGTATTTTTTAATATGTGTTTTTCTCTGAACAGAAGAAACTTCACAACATCAGTATTGCATAATATTAAAAATGCAGTTACTTTCAGCTTCAGATTTATCTGCACAGAGATCACATAGAATGTTTTCAGCCATGTCAGAATTTGAGTAAAGGGGCCTTTTATATGTGGTTTATGATTGCTGTTCAATATGAAGTTCTGCCATTCATGTGTGGATTACACGCATCATCATAGTTTTGTTGTTTCTTCTTACAAACACCAGAAATATGTCATCATATACAAATGTGTTATAAAAATCATTGTTATTAAACATAGCTTCTTATTTCGCAAGAATTAAAGAAATATTGTGGAATGCACAGTGCAATGGAAAACTTGTGCAGCAAGGTCTTTTTTGGCTTCTTTTTACAAAAGAGCTATGCTATGAACACAGACAGCAAACATTGTTCTGGTCTTCTGTGCGCCTTTAATTTTGTGCAGTGCTGAGATGCCACGAAGATAGTCACATATGCTCTAGGAATTATTTTTGGGAAGTTCTACGGCCTGTGAAATACAGGAGGTTGGACGATATGATCACAATGGTCCCTTCTGGCTTTGGATTCTAAGAACCATACGGAAACCTAAGCAGAGGAATAAACTGTAACTGCAATTGCAACTGGCACAGTGCAATGCATGGAAACAATCTGGAACTCTCATTATGTTTAACTCTAGTTGTGTTGTGAGGTAAATCATCATCACCTGACCCAGGAAAAGAGGCTCATTTACTTTAACCTGATCAGGATTGGGCCCTGTATCAAAATTCAGCATTACCAGTTTGCAGCGTATGCAACACCGATCTGTATTAAATTATTTAGTTAGCACTTAGGAGCCTTTGGAAATTCTTCCTAAATTTCATTGAAAGTCAATGGGATTTAGGCTCCTCAGTGCCTAAGTCACTTTTGATAATGGGACCTGGGCTCCGAAGTCACTGAGGTATATTTGAAAATGTTATCCTTTATGTTACATTACAGAATCAAAGACTTTGATTTAAAGGAAAAGAATGGTGTAAAATATGTATACTTTATTAATGCAACAATACTGGAATAAAATAAACCATATATACACCATGTTCTTGACGAAAGCCTCACTATGTCTTTCTCATTGACAGATGACTACCTCTATGCTGGAACAGCTTCTGATTTCCTTGGCAAAGATACAGCTTTAACACGTTCTCTGGGCCCTTCTCACGACCACCATTACATCAGAACTGACATTTCCGAACATTACTGGCTTAACGGTAGGACAATAAACATATGTTGCTGTTGACTGCATTGTCTCTGCTTTTTTGAAAGTTCAGAGGCCCATTTTCTTTAAAAACATGCATATAACAAGCATAAATAAAGTTGCATCATTAGTTATTCCCAACTACAGTCTTTTAAAAGTGGAACGGAGAAAGTGCTGGAGAAATGTACCAGAGGGGAAAATACTGCAATGGAAGGGATTTGAAGTAGAAGACTTAAGAATTCTTTCCATCTCTAATCTATGAGTCTATATATAGCACAGTAGTTGGAAATAATTTCATGGCATAAGTGCTTCTAGTTTTTCAGTGTTGTTGGAATAATATTTTTTAACCAAACAGTTGCAATCATTTATTAAAAACTGCTTCCTACAGCGCTCTGAAATGTCAGACTAGAAATTCCATTTATTAGGTAGGAGGTTTCCTC